AGAAAGATGAGGATTTCTGTTCCGTAAAGATTTACAACCTCAGAAACCCACTCCATGACCACCAACTATATCTGGATTGAGTTCTGGGTGGTATTATCATGTATGGTTATCTCAGGTTGTTGTCTGCTGGTGTTGGTTTTCAGTCCAAAGAACACCCTTTAGAATTTTTTGTAAAGTTGGTCAGGGCATTACAAATTCCTTTCATTTCTGTTTATTAGGAAATGCTCTAATTTCACCACTGTATTTGAGAGATAGCTTTGCTGGGTATAAGATACTTGGTTGGCAATTATTTTTTTTCAGAACTCTGTATGCCATCCCATTGCCTTCTTGCCTGCATGGTTTCTGCTGAGAAATCAGCATTTAGTCTTATTGGTTCTGCTTTGTAGGCAGCTTTTCTTTTTTCTTGAGCTGCTCTCAGGACTCTTTCTTTCTTTGATTTTGGAAAGTTTGATTACGGTATGTCTTGGTGATTTTCTTTGGGGATCTATTGGGGTTTATTCAGCTTCTCGTATGCTTATCTTCTTGTCTTTCATGTTAGGGAAGTTTTCTTCCAATAACTCTTTGATAATTTTCACTTTTTATTTTCTCTTCCTGTTCTGGGATTCTAATCACAGTTAAATTGTTCCTCTTCATGGTGCCCCACATAACTCTTAGGCTTTCTTTTGATTTTTTTCATTCTTTTTTTCCTGATTGTTCTTTTTAGCATACTACTAATTAAGAGATTTATCTTCAAGTTCACTAATTCTGGCTTCCATTGCTTCAAATCTTCTCCTTTGCCCTTTTGATTTATTGTCCATTTCTGAAATCTTAGTATTAATCATCTGAATTCCAAATTGTAAGTTTTGAATTGTTTAAAAATTTGCATTTATTTGTCTATTTGGTCTTGTACTGCTTTCCTGAATTCTCCTAAAGTTTTTCCTGTGTTCTCCTTGCTTTCTTGGATCTTTTTGTCAATCTGTTGAAGGTACCAAAATATCATTTTTTTTGTTAGTTCACTTTTTTCTTCAGAAATGCTTTCTGTATCTGCATCTTGGTCATTTTGAGCCATTCTCTAGTTTTTGTGTGAGCCAAAATCATCTCTTATCTCTGGGGCATTGTGGAATTGTATTTGTTGAAACAGTGCAGTGTTTTGACCTAGAGGGTTGAAATCTCTGGTGGGCTTCTGCAATTCAAAGATCTCATGAGGTGGTTGTGAAAGGGATCTGACAACAGAGTTCCTAGTCCTAGATGGAGTTCCTATTTGCCTCAATGTTATCTATGTTCAGGCACTTAACCCAGAAGTAGTTCATGGGGGCCCTTGGTTGAGCTGATTTCAGGGTCTATTAGAACCATTGGGAATTGGGGGCAGGGTGACTGATTAATTGCTGGTCTGTTGGCTTTGTGGGTTTTGTAAGTCTGGAGTGAGCCCACCTGAATCAGGGCAACAAACTGGCATACCAAAGTTCACACTGGTGTGGCTCCTAACCATGTGGCTCCAAACTCCTAGAGAGCAGGGTCCACACTGGTAGATGACAGTGCAAGCTGGTTACTTCTCTGGTCACCATAGGAAAATGAAATTGTACCTCTCCTGTCACCTGTACAAATCTTCTCTGCTAGGCCTCACTCCACTGCTAAAGCTGCTCACAAGATGGTAGAGCCATGTCTGGCCAGCCATTCACCAGTCAGTCTCTCTCTCTCACTGTCTTTGCTCAGTCTTTCCTCCTAGCAAGCACTTCATCTACCTCTCTAACCTTTCCTCTAAAGTTCATGGTGCCAGAATTTTCATATGCATCTTTTTTTTTTTTTAAATTTTATTTAAGTGCTTTATGGTGATTTATGTGATAGTTTACATGGGAGAACATTAGCTTTAAATTCATCCTATCATATATCATTACATTGCCATGGTTACAATCCCCTCCATGCATCATCAACCAACCAAAGGGTATATACTGCAAGCCTGCTCCCCCACCCCTGGTCCTCAGTACACAGCCCCTTTCCCTCTCTGGATCTCAAGTCCCCAGCCACTCCATCTCTTCACATCATCCTCTCTGTCTTCATCTCAGGCCTCACTGCTTCTCTGGGTAGGGTCCTGCTCTCTGCTCTTCTCCCCTGATGGTCCCAGGGACCTCTGCCTCTAGACTGCAAAGTCAATCACTCCCCTCCTTTTGCTACAAAACATCTACATTTCCAACCCTCACAATCAGTCCTGATAACAATTATTCACTATTGTATCACAAGAGACCTATCCCCATCTGCTTTCATCAGCCCTTACCAGACAGACTGGATATAACTCAGTGGAGAGTCTACCTTCCTCCGCAAATTCTGGATCTAGGCTCCTCTTTTGTTTTTAAAATAAATGTTTTATTGTGTGATTATTTTACATGGGGGAACATCAGTTTTACATTCATTCTATTATACATCGTTTCATTGCCATAGTTACCATCCCGTCTATGCATCATCAACCAACCAAAGTGTATACCCTGCAAGCCTACCCCCCCCCCCCCAACCCATGGTCCTCAGTACACAGCCCCTTTCCCTCTCTGGATCTCAAGTCCCCAGCCACTCCATCTCTTCACATCATCCTCTCTGTCTTCATCTGCTTCTCTGGGTGGGTCCCACTCTCCTCCCTTCTCCATTGATGGTCCCAGGGCCCTCCACTCCTAGATTGAAAGGTTAGTCACTCCCCTCCTTGCTATAAAACATCCACCTTTACATTTCCAGTCCTCACTATCAGTAGGCTCCCTCTTGAAAGCTTATAAGCCTGTAACTTCTTGCCCCTGTGTGTGCTTTCTTTGTTCTGTGTGTCTTGCTTTGCTGAGTTCATGCTTTTTATGTTCTTTCTTGTGAGTTTCCTTATAGCTTTAATGTTTCCACGTTCTTCTTGGAATTTCATTTTCTTGGTATGTTGAAAAGTGTTACTTTTCTTTGAGGTTACCTTATAGTCCATTAACTTTTCCCTCCATTTAGTGCAGTGTATTTTATCCTGTAATCTACCTGACCTTCTCACCATCTGGATCTCTGTTCCTATGTGTTTACCTTCTTTTACATTGTAATTGTTTTGATCATAGACTGACCTCCCAGATTCTCTGAGTTTGTTCTTATAGTTTTGTTCTGTTCTCAACTCTTCCTTCTGTCGATTTAATTCTGGGAGGTGCTGCCACGTATGTCAGTCTCTGGATGTTGTCTGTGCTTGTTGGTTCTCAGTCCACAGAACTCCCTTTAGGATGTTTTGTAGCGCAGGGTTGTCTTTGACAAACTCCCTTAGTTTCTGTTTATCCTGGAATGTTTTGATTATACCATTGTATTTGACTGATAGCTTTTCTGGATAAAGGATTCTTGGTTGGCAGTTTTTTTCTTTCAGGGTTTTATATATGTCTCCCCATTGCCTTCTTGCTTGCATGGTTTCTGCTGAGAGATTCAAGTTTAATCTGACTTGCTTGCTTTTGTATGTAACACTTCTGTTTTCCCTAGCTGCTTTCAGGAGTGTCTCCTTATGTTTGGTTTTGGAGAGCTTGTTTATGATATGTCTAGGTGATTTTCTTTTGGGGTCTATCCTTCCTGGGGTTTGTTGAGCTTCTTGAATATTTATCTTTTCATTTTTCAGGAAGTTACAGAAAATTTCTTCCAGCAGTTCTTCAACTATTTCCTCTAAGGACTTCTGTGATTCTTCTTGTTCTGGAATGCTGATAATTCTTACCTGCTTCCCCTACCTGAAAGTAGAACCAATTGCAGGAAACTTATCTGGTTCCTAAAGCTTTGGGAGCATGATAAAACCAAAAACCAAGCCCACAGCCATTGAGTTATTTCTGACACACAGAGGCTTCTGTGATTGCACATTTTTATGGGAGCAGGTAACCATACCTTTCTCCTGTCAGGTCTCCTTGATACATAATTTATTGTTATTGTTAAGTGTTTTCAAGTTGGTTCCAATTCATAGAAACCCTGTGTAGGGTTTCCAAGGCTGTAAATCTTTGCAGGAGCAAAAAACTTATTTTTCCTGCAGAACAAGCAGTGGGATCCTTCTGCTGACTTGTTGGTTGGCAGTCCTGTAATTATCCTACAGTGCTTCCCTGACACATAAAGTTGTTGTTAACTGCCATAGAGTTGGTTCCTACTCCTAGTGACCCTGTATAGTTTCTAAGGAGGGGCTGGTGAATTTGAACCACCTTGCAGTTAACAGTCCAGTACCATACAGTGTCTACAATGCATAAGAGTTGTTATTAATCGCAGGCGAGTCGGTTCTGATTCATACCAATCCTGTATAGGGTTTCTGAGGAGTGGCTGGAGGGTTTGAACAGTTAGCATTCCAGGGCTTATCCTACAGTGCTACACTGACTGCCATAACGGTATTATGTAACTGTTAGTAACAGTTGCGTGAATGAAGAATAATGATCAAGAGATGATCAACCAAAAACTTCTCAGATGTGCTTTATAAGTTGTTGATATTGCCTAAAGAGTTACTTTTGGAATACAAAGTTGGATTCAACTTCTGGAGTGGCAACGTCTCAGTTGTCCTTAAGCCAGTTTAGGTCCCCGGACATCAGCTAAGTCATCTGTAAAGCGAGAGTAAGAACATACTTTCCTCCGTGTCAAATGCCAAAACGTTACAAGACTAAAAGGAGCTAATAGAGAAAAAGCGCTTCACGCACCGTTGACGCTCCTTAAATAGAGTTATTGCTCCTGTTGTTACACACAAATCTAAGATAAGTGCTGGATTGTGAACCACAAGGTCAGCAGTTTGGGTCTACTAGCCCATACTACAGGAGAAAGATGAGGCTTTCTGCTTCAGCAAGGATTTTTAAGTCTCAGAAACCTATACAGGGTAGTGATACATCGGAACCAACTAGACAGCTCTTAACAACAGGCAACAGCTGCTTTCAGCAGGGTACTCTTCACAGAGGGTTACTGTGGAAATCTCACCAACCTGGCAATAAGAGAGACGTCAGGACGCACGCGCAATTCCGCGTGTTAAGAGGCGGTCTCCATGGGTCTGGTTACGTCAAGCCTCGCTCCATTACGTCATTAGTGCAGCGCCAGAGCTGCAGAGGCCCCAGGGGCCTGGTCTATGTGTGGCGCGCCACAGGGAGGCCCTGGTAGGCGCCTGCAAGTCAGTTGCGGGGCTTGGGGGGCGGCTAGGGAACCTCAGCGGACGGCGACCAGGGGTGAGTGGAGCCGTTGAGACCCGGAGCCTGGCGGTAGCAGAGACGGCCCGGAGCTCAGGCGGAGCACAGCGCTGGCGGTCGGCGGGGCTGCCCGGCGCGGCTGTCCTGGCAATGTGTGGCACTGAAGTGGCGGTGGGAGCAGCGGCGGCGGCGGTAGTGGCGGTAGTGGCGGCAGCGGCAGCAGGCTCAGCTTCGGCTTTGCGGCGGTGCCGGCGGCGGAGACGGAGGCGCAGGCTCTTCCTGAGGACCTGGCGAGCTCGGGGCTAAGCGGTGGCCCAGCCAGGCCCCTGCACAGTGCCCTGAGCCAGGGCCCTCCTTGCTTCGCCCTGCCTCGGGAGCCTGCCTCCCCTGCTGGGGATGAGGCCGAGAGGCGGCCGCGCGGGGCCCAGCACAAAGGCTTGTCCCCAGGGGCCACCTCCTCCATCACTGCTGCCACCGCCAGCTTAGAGCCGCCTGCTGAAGCTGAACCAGTGGCGCCGGGACCCTGGTCCCCCTCTGTCCACGGGGGTGGCTGCTGCCAGTCTTCTCGAAGCCCCTTGCTCCCTCGGCTGCGGTGGGACGGGGCAGCTGCGCAGCCTCCGCCACTCCCGTCAGTCGGGGGTCCACGGAGGATGTCAGAAGAGAGCGAGATGGAGAAAGCCATCAAGGTAAGGGGGAAGTGCCTCTACATACCCGCTATGTCTCTCTGGCATTGTAACTGCTCTAGCTTCAGAAAGGGGAGAGAACTCAGCATGAGAGATTCCAGCAACTTTCAGGGTTCCACTTTTACTGGATTACATGCATCGCGTTTTACAGCCCGGGGCAATGAGTTTGTGTAGGGTGCATTGTCCCACTCCCTCCAACCTCCCTGGCTAAAGTAGTAATGTGATTTTTTTTTGTTCCGTTAGCACTTGATGTACGTAGGACTGAGGGATCCACTGAAGAGGCACTTTGCACGTTTTGGTAGCTCCCCAAGTGTCTCCAGCACTTGCCTCTAGATGGGCTTCTGCGGAGCGCTTGGAGACATTGACTTTGCCCATTCCTCTTCATTTGTTTGAAACCATCCTCTTGGAAACTGCAGTTTCAAAAAGACTGAAAGATTTGTCGAAACCTACAGGTTCGCCAAAACTGAACATCATAAAAAAGAGCAGGCTTACTGGCCAGATAGAGACTGGTGGAACCCTGAGACTTCCGCCTTTGATTGCTCCTCAGGGTTTTCTGTGTCTTGGTTTTCAGCCAAGCCATAAATAGGTATATAGATGGGACAGCAACACTGGGAAGATAGGCACACCATAGAACGATGCACCGTTTGAGGTTAAAAGGGCAACATTTACCCAAGGCCAAAGTTCAGAGGGTTGGGAAAAAATAAACGAAAACAAGAACCACAGGGAGGAAGTGGAATAAACGATAGCACATTGAAGGGATTACAGTCATTGAACTGAAATGAAGAGTCGAATTTATTGAATGAACAACTGATGATCTGTTCTGTAAACCTTCACTCGGTTCACACACACACACACACACACACACACACACACACGGTTCACCTTTCTACCAAACACACACACACACACACACTTCACCTTTCTACCAAGCCTGCCCTTTGCCATATTGTCCTCACTCTCCATGTGTTCCATCCTCCTTTCCTCTTCCTTCTACCCCCAGGGAGTATTTAGTTATTTAGGAAGAACTAACACTCTGGTAGCTTAGTGGTTACGAATCGGGCTGCGAACCACAAGGTCAGCAGTTTGAAACTACCAGCTGCTCTGCGGGAGAAAGAGGAGGCTTTCTGCTCCCATAAAGATTTACAGCCTCGGAAACCCTGTTCAGGGTCGCTATGGGTCGGAACCAACTTGACAGCACTTAACAACAACAACAGTATAGTAAGGAGCTTTGTTAGCTTAGTGGTTACGAATCGGGCTGCTGACCTCAAGGTCGGCAGTTCGAAACTACCAACCGTTCTGCAGGAGAAAGATGAGGGTTTCTGCTCCCGTAAAGATTTGCAGCCTTGAAAACCCTGTACAGGGTCGCTATGAGTTGGAACCGACTCCATGGCACATAACAACAACAACAGTATAGTGACTTAATGCTCTGTTAATCAAAAGAAAAATGTCTGTTTTAACATGTGCCAGATAAAGACATAATATCCTTTTTAAAAACAAAGTAAGTTTTGTCCACAGAGCAAAATGTTATCTTTTAACTTGACAGCTATACCTAGGAAATGAGAGACTTGGGTAAATTGATCACTGACACTTAAAGTCTGATATGAATTATTTTACTTAATCCTAACAGTGTTAAGTCAACCCAGTGCATTAAAGACCTTCATTTTTGTTTTAGGGACAAACAGCAGTTGGCAGCTTGCGGTTGTTATTCTCTTGAAGATGTAATCACTATTACCACCAACCATTTAAAAACTTAATAACTGCATCCATTTTCGGAAGGATGATAAGTTTATAGAGAAGTTCTTGGATGGTGTGAATGATTAATGTGCTCCTGTGTCCACCTCATTGTTTGTAGTTCAAGTTCACTCAGAGTTTCCTTGAAAGAAAGGGTTGGTGGTCTACTCCAGAAAATGAGCCATTGAAAACCCCGTTGAGTGAAGTTCTGCTCTGACACACATAGGTTCCATGAGTCAGAGTTAAACTTGACATCAGCTAGTTTAAAGTTTATAGCAATCATAACTATACCTTCTTAAAGGAGGCATCAAAATACAACTTACATATTGGTGGTGGTGGTTATGTGCCATGGAGTCGGTTTAGACTCATAGCAACCCTGTACAGGATTTGGGAAGCAGTAAATCTTTACGGGAACAGAAAGCCTCATCTTTTGCCTGCGGAACAACTGATAGTTTCGACCTGCTGACCTTGCGGTTCACAGCCCGATTCGTAACCACCTTGCTACCAGAGCTCCTTAACTTAAAAATTAAGGAAGAACAAATTTCTATCGATAAAAATAAAAGTTCAGAAAGAATTCTGTGATGTATTCATTTTTCCTTTTGGTACCATTTTACTGGTACAGAGTCGTGATTTGCTGCCTGAAGTTCTATGACTGAGTTGTGAATCAAGACATATGTGGCAGACTCTTTTTCTTTAACTTTTTATTGTGAAGGTTTACAAACAGGATCATCAGTGCTTACATTTTCATCTCAGTGCTTACAGTCCCCTCTCTGTAACAAGTTATCCTACTTCTTCCTTGTGGCTCCCTATTTAAATCTTGCATTTCAACAAATGAACAAAGCAAAAATATTTGATGCACACATACAAAACAAAACAAAAATGCACTCATTTAAATGTCCAAAGGGCACATTCTGAAAGCCAGTTTTCTGCCTGCAGGCACACAGTCTTACTCAGTTCTTGTGCCTGGAGCTGGTAGCTGCTCTGTCTCTCCATGCCACTGCCTCGGCCACAGTCTCTGCTATCCTGCTTTTCTCGCTCCACTCATGGTCTTCCCTCTTGATGGTCCTAGGATCGTCTGTTTCTGAAATGAAAGATTAACTACTCCCCCTTTCGTTATATATCTTCGACAATTAGAGTTGTGACAATCACAATGCTGTTAACAATTACTCAGAACTGAATCATAAAATCCTATTAGCATCATCCCTTATCCCCTTTCACCAGACCCATCTGGAAAAAAGGAAAACTATTCATTGGGGATTCTACGTTACCCCCCCTCATTCTGAAACTAAGCACACCCATGAAAGCTTGTAAGACAGCCACTTAATGCGTTTATATCCAACCATTCTTGATAGTCTGTGTCTATATTGCCTGTCTCTATCAACTCTGGTAGCATAGTGGTTACAAGTCGGACTGCCAACCTCAATGTCAGCACTTCAAAACCACCAGCGGTTCCGTGGGAGAAAGATGAGGCGCTCAGCTCCCTTAAAGATTTACAGCCTCAGAAACCCTGTACAGGGTCACTATGAGTCACAATTGACTCCACGATACTCAACAACAACAGCAATCAACTCTGGTGGAGTCCTGGTGTGGCGCTGTGGGTTAATGTGCCAGACTGCAAAGCCATTTAAACTGCAAGGTCAGCAGTTCAAGCTCACCTATATAGGGTCACCATGGGTCGGAACTGACTTGACACTTAACAACAACATCAACCCTGGCGTAAGATAATGCACTGGACCTCAAGGTCAGTTTGAACTGCAAAGTCATCAGTTCAAATTCACCAGCTGCTCCTTGGAAACCCTATACAAGGCAGCTGTGAGTTGGAACCAACTTCATGGCACTTAAAACCCTCTGAGCTTGTTCCTTGATATGAAGAATCTTCCAGTTGGAATTTTGAGCAGCTGTATTCATAAGCAAAAGTCCAGTTCATCATATTGTAGCAATTTACACTTGCTTACAGTATCAAACATCTTTATCTTCATTTGGTCGGGTTCTGATTAGCTTGGCCCTAGCCATCCAAGCTAAGTCAAATGAGTACCAGCTGCAAGTTTGGGAGTTCACAGTCAGATCAGCTGGCCCCTGATCACTCTCAGCCCTAACCCCTAGGGGTTGGGTCAGTGGCTATGTATGGGCTCAGGAGTTCACATAACTCCTTAAATTCAAACCAGCTTGCCCTTTCTTTTCTCTCTCTCATCTCAAGGTCAGCAGGTGCCAATGGAATATGTCCAAACTCAGCCTGTGTCTTCATTCTGTATTATCCCCCATTTCCACTCACAAGTAGACTCGGGTGGTCACCAGTGAGCATACTAGACTGCTCATGGGTTTCTTTTAAATCTCAGTCCTGGTGGTGGTGGTGGTGATAGTGTGCCATGGAGTTGGTTCTGACTTATAGTGACCCTGTATAGGGTTTCCAAGGCTATAAATCTTTATGGGAGCAGAAAGCCTCATCTTTCTCCCACAGGACAGCGGGTAGTTTTGAACTGCTGATCCTGATGGGTTGACTTTTCTTGACTTGATGCCTCCAAGGGAAAGAGCTGCTTGAAATGCAAAATGATGTGGTAGACTCTTAAATTCAAGTATTTCTCGTCTGCTTTGTGCCAGGTACTGCTTTAGGCACTAGTGATTCTACCAGTCTCCCAATGTCCCTGCTCTCATAGAGTTTATAGTCTAGATAGGGGAGCTAGGCGTTCAACATATGTCAGTTTCTTCAAATTAAGTATAAACGAGAAGAGTTATTTTAGTTAGGTAGTATGGGAAGGCCTCTCCTGAGTTCATGGCATTTGTGTAGAGTCCAGAAGGAAATGAGACCGCAAGCCTCTGGTATCTGGGGGAAGAATATTCTAGACAAGGAGGATGGCAAGTACAAAGGCCCTGTAGTAGGATTAGTTCTTGTGTGTTCCAGAAACAGTAAGGTAGCTGGAATGCAGTGAGTCAGCAAAAAGGGTTAGAAGATCATGTTATCCAGAGGTAACAGGACGCTTGGGTGAGTAGAGCCTTGTTGACCATTGTAAGAACACACATTTGGCTTTTACTCAGAGTAATAAAGGAACCAGAGAAAGATTTGACTTTTTTTTGTGAATTGAGTGAAGATTTATAAACAGGATGATCAGCTTTACATTCAACAAATTGTACACATACACAAATGGGCAACATTACCTACTGCTTACAAAGATTCTTTAGGTAGATATGGTTATAAATCCCAGCCCTGCCCTTTTAAAAAAAGATTAGATATGTCTGCTCCCCAAAAGATTCAATATTCTCCACCAACACCATAATTTAAATGCATTGATTTTTCTACAGTCTTCCTTATTCATTGTACAATGTTCACATGCATATGAAGCTATTAAAAATACTATGACTTGGGTCAGGTGCACCTTAGTACTCAAAGTGACATCTTTGCTTTTTAATGCTTTAGAGAGGTCTTTTGTAACCTGTCATTTGGTTTCTTTACTGCTGCTTCCATGAGTGTTAATTACAGATCTAAGCAAATTGCAAGTCTGACAAATTCAACTGCTTTCCTACCGTCTCCTCTGTTACTACAATATGTGAGAACAACAGCCAAAAGGTGGAAACAACCTAAGTGCCCATCAACAGATAAATGGATAAATAAAATGTGGTACACACATACAATGTAATATACAATTCAACCAGCAGGAGAAATAAAGTCATGATACATGTTACAGTTTGAATGGAGCATGAAGACATTATGTTGAGTGAAATAAGTCAATCACAAAAGGGCAAATATTGAATGACCTCATTTATATAAAAAGACTAGATTTATTGGTCAGAGAGAGACCCATCAGAATATGGCCCTTAATCACCCTTTAGGCTTAGAAATGAACTCACTCAACTTTCAGTGAAACATTGGTGGTTATGTACCGTGGAACCGGTTCCGACTCACAGTGACCCTGTACAGGGTTTCCGAGGCTGTAAATCTTTACGGGAACAGAAAGCCTCATCTTTCTGCCGCAGAATAGCAGGTAGTTTCTAACTGCTGACCTTGTGGTACGCAGCCCAATTTGTAACCACTATGCTACCAGAGCTCCTCTAAACAATGGACAAGTCTAAAAGGGGAACAGTAATACTGAGAAAGTACACATATCTAAGATAATCAACCACCTGACATCAAGACAAGGAAAGGTAAATGTACAGAGACTAAGGTTCATTAGTGATTATCAACACCAGCTACTCCAAAACACAAAAACCAGGCAGTCATCTTTGGAGTCTTGGTGTGACGCTGTAGGATAAACACTGGACTGCTTACTACGAGATTGGCATCTGCTCCTCAGACCCTTACACAGGGTCGCTGTGAGACAGAACCTACTCGGCAGCACTACTAAGAACAACACGGGTGGGGGGGGGGGAAGTGGTTAATGATGATGGAAAAAGGGCACCCACTAAGCATTGCAGTCGATTATTATAACTGCTGTCAAATTGTACACCTGTAAAAAGCTTAACTGTGTGGTATATATATTTACACCAAAGACAAAAAAATGCTGCGAGGCTGCTTATGTACATACAACCAAACACCTAATGGGATTTGGTTCCTTGGTTAGGACATTTAGGATCATGGTTTCACAAGATCTTTTATAACCTGTTGGTTTAATAATGTGTTTAGTGCTTCTATTCTACTTCCTAGTTCATTTTATAGTGCATGGGGCCTTGAAAGCTTTCCAAGGTACAACAGTTGGTTTCTATTCACCTGAGACAGCAGGAAAAAGTAGAGTCGGGAATAGGAGGATATGGAAGGTGTGGCTAATTGCCTCCATGAACAACTGTCTCCTTTGCCATGAAACCAGAAGAACTGGATTATTGTTACCATTACTGAACATTTTGATAGAAGAATCTTGATGAAAAGAAGGGAGATGCAGAATAAAATTTTAAACTTTCATGGATTCTAGACTTTCTGGAGCCATAGAGGGTAGATGAATCCCCGAAACTATTGCTCCTTGGTAACTCTCGCCTTTAAAACAAAATTATCCCCTGAAGTCTTCAAAATGAACAATAGTTTAACTAGTGAAAGAAAGTCTGCCCTGAGCATTGTGTGCTTTTAAGAACGATCTATACGGAATCATATATGGAGTCCTGGTGTGGCGCTGTGGTTTAACGCACCCGACTACAAAGTTGGTTTGAATTGCAAAGTTGGTTTGAACCACAAGGTTCATGGCTCAAGCTCACCAGCCACTCCTTGGAAACCCTACACAGGGTTGCTATAAGTCGAAACCGACTCGGTGGCACTTAACAACAACAACATGGAATCAAAGTGACAACTGCAGCGTGAAAGATTAGATAGAAATCTTAGTGGGGCAGTGATTTAAAGTTAATGAGAGAAGAACAACTCAGACAAAGGTGATGAGAGTAATTGTACAACTGGAAGAATGTAATCAATGTCACTAAACTACATGTGAAAACTGTCTAGTTGGTAATGTTTTGCTGTGTATGGTTGCTTGGAGTGTCCTGTGGAATCAGTCACTCCTCAGAACCATCTTGTATAGGATGTCCGAGGCTGTGCATCTATACAGGATCAGAAAGCCTCATCTGTCTCCCATGTAGTGACTGGTGGATTCCAACTGATGACCTTGAAGTTAGCAGCCCAACTCGTAACCCACTATGCTACCAGGGCTGTATATGAGGTGGCTTCAAAAAGTTCATGGAATAATTCCATTGTTTTTTCATCTAATTTTCCACAATTGTCCCCTTGTATGTTATCAGTAACAATAAAGTAAAATTTAAAGAAAAAGAAAATATGTCACTCACACAGTCTTGTCAAAAGGTGTGTGAACTTCCAAATGGCAAGGAAATCAAGTAGATTTCAAGATAAAACAGACTGTTTTAAGCAGGGGGAAAATTAATTAATTACAGGGCAACCTCCAAGAAAAAAATAAGACATCTGCGTATCAAAATAAAAAAGAGAAAAATCAGAAAGATTTAGTAAACATTAACACAACAGAAATGAAAATGAAAAGAAAACCTATAAATGACGTGAACTCGGCATAGAAAATGATATGCAACAAGAATCCAGGACCACAAAAGGTGTGTGAGTAATAACTTCTTTTGCCCCGCTGGACATTATTTGTGGCACCACTAGCAAAGGTGCAAGAATTAAACCTGGAAAGGATGAGAAATGTAAGAAAATGGGTTGAGATGTTAGGATTCTAGAGACTCAGTGAAGCCACGATTTCTTTTGGCAGAGTCAAGTGTCAGAACTCCAGTCAGAGGCTCGAGTGGTTAAAGTCTGGTAAAGAAAGTGTCGTCATAATAAGTACCGGCACCATGAAGAATTTAGTGTAACAGTGGCTGTTACATTTCTAGAGCTGGACACAGAAATAGGCCTTTGATTTGATCATAACAAATAGTATCTAAAATAATAGATTTCTCTTATCCTTAGATTCTCTTATGAGAGTACATGATTGCACTGAGTTGAGGAGAAGCGTTTAGAAAATTTTATTCTGTTATAAAGCTTAGATTATGCTCCAGCTCCCTCTTCTTACTACCTTTCTTTCAGTCTTCTCAAACACTCAAATCAACAGGCCAGCCAGCATAAATGTGACAGAAGTAGATTAAGGGTAGGTTTGAAGTCTGTTGAGGAGGTAGCAAGTGAAGACAGAGCTTAGAACCTCCCTGACAGGGAAAGCCTCATCTCTGATGTATATGCTGGGTCCTAGGCACAAGTCTCTAGGTGGTGCAAGTGGTTAAACACTTGACTACTAGCTGACAGGCTGTCCATTCAAACCCACTCAGAGGCACCTTGGAAAATAGACCTGGTATTCTGCTTCTGAAATGTCACAGCCTTGATAACCCAATGGAGCTATTAGACTCTGCACACATGGCATCCCCAAGAGTCGAAACTGACTTGGCATCAGCTAACAACAATAGGTAGTTGTCCATGATAGTTGTAATGGTTCTGGGGAGAAGTCTAAGCCATACAGTCTAGTCTTGATAGTGTCTGGTGATCATGGCAGAACTCCTTAACCCTGGCATAGAGTTAATCAGAAGAGAGTTTGGTCCTTCCCATATCAGCATCCTTCATCATCTAGTGTTAGTATCCCTTCCCACAGATACTGAGCGTTGTCTGTATGCAAGAAAGAGGCAGTAGAAAGGTATGGAGCTATGAAGGCTATTGCATACATTTAGACATTTCCTTGTGCAGAAGTAGTATTTTCATTTCAGAGCTTAACTGGGTGTCTGACACATACGATGTACTCTCTAATGAATGAACTAATAACCTGTTCCCATGGACTAACAAGATTCTAGCACTAAACATGGTCTACTAGATTGTCATTGCCATAAGACAATGGCAAGTTTCTTGAGTTTTGGTCTGCAGTTAGTTTCATGTTCTACCTGTGGAACCCTGTGAAAATGAGTTCTAGATTTAACAGAATAACATCCAGATCCAGCTGCCAGGAAGGCCCTATTCTGCAGTGGCAATCAGGGCAAGGCAGTTCCTGCTATGGCTTCGCAAGCTTCAGTTCTGAGATGGGGGTGGTTGGCATTATCTCACTTTTGGGTTCCATAATTATTTGAACTTTTAAGTTATTCACTTACTCCAACAATCTGATCAATTTATTCAAGGATATAGGCTTCTGCAGCCTAGTGGCCTTTATCAGACCATTTTTTCCCTGGAATCTCAAAAAGTAAACTTAACCATTGTTGTGAAGAAGTATTGAGTAGTTGAAGCAGTTTGAAGGAATACAGAAGCATTGTCTATTCCAGTGGACGTCACAGATGAATGTCTTTTTATCAAGAAGTCCTTGCTTTCTCTTTTGTTGGAAAACAAAACCTAACCTAGTCCTTTAGAAAGGCTGTCTAGTTATAATACCCTGTAGGAACACAAAGCTCTGCTTTTTAGATTCAGAAGATGAGATGTTGAATAATAAGATCTTCTTTTGGCTCAGCACTGTATCACTATTCACCTTTTTAACTGGGGAATATTCTCTGCCCTCCTCCCTTTTTTAATAGGAAACCTCCATTTTAGAGGAATACAATATCAATTGGACTCAGAAGCTGGGAGCTGGAATTAGTGGTCCAGTTAGGTAAGAGACTCACGTGAGAACTATGGCAAAATTGCGCTGATGATCCTTTGCATCGTAAATGAGAAGTGTCAGGTATGTCAGATTTGAGAACTAACCTTATGTAACAAGTGGAAGTATTTATGTTAAGCTCGTTCTCAGATATTTAAAATGTAGTGACATGACAGTGTGACATGGCTTATAATAGGGAATGCTCTAAAATATTGAGGCTGTGGAGCCTCTGTTAGAGTTGCTCTTAGCCAGGAGAGGCGGCTATTATTTTTGTACTTGCCAACTGAAAGTGCGTTTCACCTAGGAAAGACCCCTGGCTTAAGAGCTGAGGCCTGAGCATTGTGCCGTGGAGGGTGGGTGAACAGCTTTTCTGCCTTTCCTCCTGTTAGCCTGGGAAAGGTTTCTGATGCGTCTGGATAGTACCATGACTAGGAAGTGTAGTTTTCAAAGAACAGACTTTTACATTCATTTTTCCTTGTAACATAGATGGTTTCTCATTGAATATTTTTCTTAAAATCTAGAGTCTGTGTGAAGAAATCTACCCAGGAACGATTTGCACTGAAAATTCTTCTTGATCGTCCAAAAGCTAGAAATGAGGTATGGTCCTTTGTTGCCTGACTTGCTTAAACATTTGAGGAGCTTAAGAATTGTTCTTTCTCTAAGGCAATTTCCTGGAGAGAATACAGAGACGTATACAGAATTTTATATCTGTACTTACCCCTTCTTCCTTTTTCCTGATATTGTTAGAAAGCATTTCTGGATCTGTTAACACTGAAGGATGTCACCTAATGGAGTTAGAGGTGGCTGAAAGGAAATAAGACTCTCTTTTAATTAATGGGATCCTTGTTTGCCCAAAGTATTTGGGTTTGCTCCAGTTTCTACTTATTAGAAAAAAGTGCTTGAAGAGTGGAAGGGTCAGGTGAATGGTGTCTTGAAAGTGATGCTACAAGATATCTTTGAGGATGTTTCTAGGTGTTTTAAAAGCACATTTGTTTTAAATCATCAGAATGTGGTGCTGACTCATTAATAACATACAACACAGTATTCCTTTACTTAGAGAGATATTGATAAATTTTTAAATACAGTGCTTGTTTTTTTTGCTAGTTTTCCATTTGTTAGTAAATAGAAAGTTGTTGTTGTTATGTACCGTGGAGTTGGTTCCAACTCATACTGACCCTGTACAGGGTTTCTGAGGCTGTAAATCTTGCCGGGAGCAGAAAGCCTTATCTTTCTCCCACAGAACAACTGGTAGTTTCGAACCGCTGACCTTGAGGTTCGCAGCCCGATTCGTAACCACTACGCTACAGAGCTCCTTAGTAAATAGAATAGTTGAAAGTAAATCTGTTAGTGAAATTTTAATCTTGGAAAGAGTGTTAGGAGAAAATCCATTTTTTTATGACACAATTCTAGTTGTTAGGCATACCCTTTTGCACCTGGTGTGGTAATAATATGGTGGTCAGTTATATTTTATGGGGAAAGTTTGGCAAGAAAATGTTGGTATGCCCTATGAACAGAAGCATTCCCTGTATTCTCTTTAAGGTACGTCTGCACATGATGTGTGCCACACACTCAAATATAGTTCAGATAATTGAAGTGTTTGCTAACAGCGTACAGTTTCCTCATGAGTCCAGCCCCAGGTAAGACTACCCCGGACCATCACTACATGCCCACTTTTCTATTTGTTTGCCAAGGGTCAGTGGGATCTTCCACTCTTGCATGTGTGCTATTTGTATACTTTATATTTTCTAAAATTTCAAACATGTAATGAATCCTCAAATATCTGTCACTCAACTTCAAGAGTTAACCTATTTTGTCTGATCTTGTCATCTATACCTGTGCCCACTCTCAGGCTCCCCCAATTATTCTGATCACGTTCTCTTTTAAAAGAGCATTTAATTTAGATTTTAAACTGATTCTATTTCTAGTTAGCAAAAGAGGCCCAAATATTATTCTAGGTAAAGTCTTAGAGGCTGACATGGCAAAAAACAAACAAACCCCAAACCCTTATTACTTAGTCTGATTTTTTTTTTTAAAGGAAGAGATTGACATTCTTTTAGTCACCAAATGTTTGGCAAACCCATTGAATGGTATTCCAAGTCTCTTCCAGGAAATTTAAATGAAATAAGATCTGATTTCTGTGGGGAGATTAAGATCTAAACATAACATTGGAGCACTGTGACGGGGTGACATGCATGCAAGATTCTGAGCCCACCGAGAAGGAAAGCTGTTAAAACTCTACCAGAGTGGTCCTGAGTGGGTAGAAGTTGAAGAAGATTGGTGCAGGTGTCAGAGTTTTCAAAATGGAAAAAGAAGATAGAATTACAACTACAAATGGGAATCAACTGATTATTGCTCACAGCTGTGCTCTGTTAATGAACGCATTTGGATGGATGCTGGATGTATTTATGCTTAAAGAATTGTAATCACAATTCACAGAGTTTTTTTCTTTTGTTCTTACTTTAAGAATCTTTGCTCTTACTTATTTAGTAGCTGTGTAACCCTATCCAGCTATCTTGCTTGGCATGCTTTGGACCATATGGAAAGCTGGCCCCTAGAGAGAAAGTAACCATGACAACCCAATCACCAACTGAACGCCTTCAAGTTCATGTGCTACACAAAGTGGTGTTCTGTTTTCAGTATAGCAAGTCCACATGTTAAGAACATCTTACAACTGGTACTTAAGAATGGACTCCCATAAAGCTTATTGTATTGAAAACTTACATGGTTTATAATATCCAGCGCATGCACTACTTTGTGATGCTCGTGAAAACAGTGCAGCTCCTGTGTTCATTGACCCAAGGAAGGAGAACACGGTCTGTCTTCCTTTTTAAGTTGAATCATGTTGCTGTTAACACTGTGTGGCGTGTGTCCTTGTAACCACGCCTCCAAAGCTTATCTGATGTAAGTGCTGGTGATGCGTCAAAGACAAGAAAAACAATCATGATTGCAAGTAAAGTGGAAAACAAAGTGATCTGAAGGAGGTCATTGGAAAACTGTTAGGCAACAGTTTTCAATAATAGAAACAATTGGAAAGGATAATTTGAGAATATTGGAAAAGTAGAAGGCTACAATTATTACTCAGCAATGCAGTGGCTTAATTATTGAAATGGAAAGGCTATTAATAATTTGGTTAAATGATCAAAATCAGTGTAATATGCCTATTAATGTTCCTTTGGTGCAAAAAGAGGCTCAAAGCCTTTGTAGTGATTTAAAAAAACTGCAAATGAAGGTGACTGATGAAGAACTTGTGAGTAGGGGTTGGTTTTGTGGATTCAAAATGAGAATATACTAATATAACATTAAAGTGTAGGGAGAAGCCCTGAGTGCAGACAGGAGTGTGTAAGGGTTTTATATGCATGTTATTAAGTGCTGTAGAGTCAGTTCAGCCTCATAGCCACTCCTTATAGGGTTTCCAAGGAGCAACTCGTGGGTTTAAACTGCTGAACTTGTGATTCCCAGTTCAGTGTTGATCATACAGTGCTACAACAAGTAAAATATACAACAAATACTAAGCAATCTGACAATAAATCAGAACCTATTCCAGCTTACCTACAAATTCTACTTAAAGACAGATTTAGGAATGGATCTCATTCCTAACACTGGGATTGCCTATATACTTTTTAATCAAACCAACTTCTGTCAAGTCAGTTCTGACTCATAGCACCCCTAGAGGACAGAATAGAATTGCCCATACAGTTTCCAAGGCTGTAAATCTTTATGAGCACTAACTGCCCTATCTTTTGACTGCATAGTGGCTGGCTGGTGGCTTCGAATTACCAACCTTTTGGTTAGCATTTAAGCACTTCAGTCATTGTGCCACCAGGGTCGTACACTTAGTCTAGCTGCCTTAAAACACATACACAAATGGTCACTTAAAAATCCTCTCTTTATCATCTAGTAATAACTAGCTTAATATCTTTGAAGGAATTGTTGTCTTTGAAACTAATTCTTTTACTTCCATCTTCCTGGGAAGTTGGAGGTTGGGGCTATTCCTCCTACACAGTGTTCAGCAGGTGGTGTCAGGTACAACCCATAGAGTCCTGGTAGGACTGGACTTAGGGAGTGCGAATACACTCTGCAGGTATCGTTAGTTCAGCTACTTGGTGTTTTAGGGTTTTTTTTTTGGGGGGAGGTTGTTTTTTTTTTTGTTTTGTTTTTTAACTTAACAAAATCAAATGCTTTCAAACAGGGCTCGACTCTTAATTGTAATGGAGATGATGGAAGGGGGAGAACTATTTCACAGAATCAGCCAGCACCGGCACTTTACAGAGAAGCAAGCCAGCCAAGTAACAAAGCAGGCAAGTTCACCCCAGGTACCAAGCAAACTGTACCAACAGTGTTGGTAAGCAAGTGCAATTTCACTGGGGGGAATAAAAGAAAGCTTACAGAGAAGCTCTATTTGATCTCTCATTGCCTGCTTTGTTATACAACCAGAAAAGATGTCTTGACAGGAGAAAATGACCCCTTTTATGCGATAGGAAACAAACTGTGTTCTTAACATTTTCATGACTGAATTATCTTCTTCTCTGAGTTTTTTGGTTGATTGTATGTGTTTCCAGTATTAGAAGGCATGCAGAAATTAAAGGGAAATCTGTAATAATCTTGATACAATTAAATGGGATACATGTGTCCCAAGTAGACTCTAGTGGTAGGATTGGTAGGGTGAGGCCCATTTCTTCAGATTCATACAGTTACATAGGTACTCACCAGGCAATAGCTTGTACTACAACTGGAATAGCAGCTTCCCAAGAAACCTGGGAGGCTGGAAATGTAATTGGGTGATAAATGTCTCATAGTCATGTAAGGTTAACTGTCAACTGTTTCCAAAGCCTAGTGTGTGATTTAAATAAACTCCGGAGGGAAGGCAGTTTTACCTGGTTGTAGACAATGGATGCCTGTGTTTAGACATGCAGCTTCCATGCACTGTTATTGGACTTTGAGATAATATGCTGCTGATGCCACCTGAATGGTTGTCCAGTATAAAAGCATGTTCGATGATAGCTGTGCATAAGATACTTCCTGTATGTGAACCATCTTCTCTCTCTTCTCTTCGGGCTTCACTAGTATTCTCAGATCTTTGTATTTCGCAGTTATATTCTCCCTATTTTGACATCACATTTTGTTGCTATAGAAATGATTTATAACACAAACAATTCTAGGATTCCAATTGGAAATAAACTCATTAGGAGGTGGAAAGCTAAACCCTTAAAGCTTATCTTCAGGGCTTAGAAGTAGGCACAGAAAACTGGGAAGCACAGCCTTATTGGTTCATAATAGTTATTTTCTTCCAAATTTTCTATGAGCCTCAAGCAGCTTTCCATGTCCCCTTTCTGGTAGGAAGGAATTGATATGTGGAATGCTACAAAAATTCCATACTAAGAATTGAAACACAGGTACGATTTGTTATTTCTATTTAATTTTTAAGTGTCATCTTGAATTTTTCAAATATGAGCTAAAGAAGGATCTCTTAATAATCTTCTCTAAAATCAAAACCTTTCAACTCCATGCAAACAAACAGGATGAGCAAAGTTGGGAACTAAGGTTGGGAAAATCCTGTCACAGATTTCAGGTTTTCTGGCAGGTAGAGCACGAAGTGGAACTCCCAGGGGAGTGCTGCTCTCCTGAGCTAGGCACCAGGCTCTGCCGTGCTGTGGGAGGCCAGCCCTGCCTAGTGGTCTCTCTGCAGTCCCTGGCAGACTTCAGATGCATACAAATGGAAGCATTTTCAGTTTTCAGTTTCTTACAGTATTTAGCTTTCAGTCTATTCTGACAAAGGCTTCTGTTCTACTCTCGTGTTTTCCTTTTTGTTTAGTAGAATACAAGTCGCAGTTAAACTAGGCTTCATTTAATTTCTTTGCTTTAGTACTCCAAGTCTTACTTAATTTCTGCTTTAAAGTTGAAAACTGATCACATTATTAACTGACTCGATGTAGGATTGTTTGTTAACCCCTGAGTTCCCTAAGCCAGGGGCAGTGAACACCTGTCTTTTTAAGAAGGGCGTTGCTGCTCTGTGTCCTTTTCCAGATAGCGCTGGCTTTGCAACACTGTCACCTGCTGAACATCGCACACAGGGATCTCAAGCCTGAAAATCTGCTATTCAAGGATAACTCTTTGGTGAGAAGACTTGCTTTTGTGCTTTTTAGTGCCCCCTTTCAGCACATACCTCTCAAGCAGGGATGGATGTGTTTGCAGTACCCTGAATCATGGGGAAGAGCCTTTTAGGCCCACATGGCATATTTCATTCACATACTTGCACTAGGAGAATTCCCTTTCATGGGAAAATTGTGTTATACTCTTGGCACTGAATATTTTGGGAGCCTGGTGGTTCTAGAGGATAAGCACTGGACTGCGAACCACAAGGTCAGCCATTTGAGCCCACTGGCCACTCTGAGGGAGAAAGACAAGGCTTTGTGCTCCTGTAAAGATTTATAGCCTTGGGAACCCTATACAGTGTCACTGTGAGTTGGAACCAACTCAATAGCACTTAACAACAACAACAGCTGAAAACTTTGCATCAATTTTTGATCAATATTTGTGGGACTTAAGATTTTGGATTATTATTTGCAGGGGCTTTGGAAAGTAGCAACAATTACATGCTGTTTTATGTCACCTTGAAACTTAATATCTGCTGTTCCCCTCAGAAATGCGTTTCCCCCTTCCACCCCAAGACCTGCCATATATACCGTGCCCCACCAAGTAAGCTGCTCTGCTCTCAGGAAACTTATAGCAAATGAGAAGAGCACAGTGCTACTTTGGCATGATACAGTCTTAGTGTTGCTGTTACCAGTTATCACAGCCCCTGGTGGCACCGTGGGTTAAGGATTGCACTGTGAATTGCAAGGTTGGAGATTCACACCCATCAACCACTCTGGGACAAAGATGAGGCAGTCTGTTCCCAGAAAGTTTGACAGAAACCCTGTGGAGCAGTTCTACTCTGTCCTCCAGGGTCACTTTGAGTTAGAAACAACTCAACAACAGTGGGCTTGGGCTTACAAGTTATAAAAACAAAGTTTATATGTGAATTCATAGAAATTCCTTATTTCTGTATTAATTTAAGAACAATTCCTGAATTTGAATCCTTCTCTCTAGACTTGGAACCTGTTGTTCAGAGTCTCTGATCTCAACCAGACTCTTGCAGTCACATTTTCCTTTAATGTTTGCTGAGAACACCAGAGTCATAACTTCCATTTATGTATTTTAGGATGCCCCAGTGAAGTTATGCGACTTTGGATTTGCCAAAATTGACCAAGGTGACCTGATGACACCTCAGTTCACTCCTTATTATGTAGCACCTCAGGTAAGTGTGTGCACTTCCTACCTGTGGACTATTTCTGTTTCTTTGCACAGATGGGTGCACGTGACAAATGGGAAGTAGGAAAACTCAGCTATAGAAATTCAGATAGTTTCATTTGGTGTAGGTATTTTATTTAAATCATCTTTATGGAAGTATGATTTTTGTTGCTGTTGATAAGTTTAGGACTCCTGGTGTGGCACTGTAGGATAAGCACTGAGCTGCTAATTGCAAGATCGGCAGTTCAAACCCACCAGCTGCGCCTTGGAAACCCTATACAGGGTCGCTATGAATTGAAATCGACTTGATGGCATATAACAATGTTAAGCATGTAGTTTGAGTTTTGACAAATGTATATCAGCAATCAGGTAGAGAACATGCCCATTACTTTAGTGAGTCCACTCCCAACTTAGCCCCTGGCCCCAGGCAGCTCCCAAATTGCTTTCTGTCATTCATAGTTAGTCGTAACCTCTTCTAAAATTTCATCCAAATATAATCATACACTTTTTTTGTTTCACTTCTTTTGCTCAGCAGGTTTTTGATAATCCATCTATTTGCTGCATATGTCAGTAGCCTGCTGCTTCTTGTTTATTACTATGAAGTGTTCCATCAAGGAGCCTGGTGGCACAGTGGCTAATGTGCTTGACTCTTAAATCAAAAGGTTTAAACCCACCATCCGTCCCATATTAGAAAGATGTGGCCGTTTGCCCCTTTAAAGATTTACAGCCTTCGAAACCATATGGAACAGTTCTACTCTGTTTTATGGGGTTGCTGTGAGTCAGAATCCAGTTAGCTGCAGTGGGTTTTGTGAATAGTAGAGGAGCCCTGGTGGCACAGTGGCTGAGCACTTTTACAGGAGAAGGATAAGGCTTCCTGCTTCTATAGAGACTTTCCACCTCTCAGTCACTTTGAGTTGGAATGGACTTGACAGCAGTGGGTTTGGTTTTATTTTTTTGGTTTATTCCATAATATGGCTATTCTGTGTTTATTTATCTGTTCACTGCTTTTTGGCTATTTGTGAGTAAGGCTGATCTGAACATTATTTTCAACTTTTTAGGCACCTATTTTCCCCCCTTAGAAGTTGTAAATAATGTTCATAGCAGTTTTACTCAAAAGTAGCCCAAAACCGGAAACAATCCAGACTGTCCATAAGTCTTTTGTTGTTGTTGTTGTTGTTGTTGTTAGGTGCCATCGAGTCGGTACCAACTCATAGCGACCCTATGCACAGCAGAATGAAACACTGCCTGAGCCTGGGCCAACCTTACTATCATTGCCACGCTTAAGCCCATTGATGCTGCCACTTTGCCAATCCATCTCGCTGGGGTCTTCCTCTTTTTCTCTGACCCTCCACCTTACCAAACATGGTATCCTTCTCCAGCGACTGGTCCCTCCTGACAATATGTCTGAAGGATGAGAGACGAAGTTTGGCTATCTTGACCTCCAAGGAAGGAGCACTCTGGCTGCATTTCTTCCAACACATCTGTTGGTTCTTTTGGCAGCCCATTCAATATTCTCCTCCAACACCATAACGCAAAAGCATCAATTCTTCTATGGTCTTCCTTATTCATTGTCCAACTTTTGCATGCATATCAGGTTACTGAAAATAACATGGCTTGGGTCAGGTGCACCTTAGTCTTCAAGCTGACAGACAATTTTGCTCTTCAACACTTTAAAAAGGTCTTGTGCAGATTTGCCTAATGCAATATGTCATTTGATTTCTTGATTGCTGCTTCTGGGAGTGTTGATAGTTGATCCAAGCAGAATAAAGTCCTTGACAACTTCAATCTTTTCTCTGTTGAGAAGAATGTTGTTTATTGGTCCAGTGGTGAGGATTTTTGTTTTCTTTACACTGAGATGGAATCCATACCGAAGGCTGTGCTCTTTGATCTTCATCAGTAAATATTTTAAGTCTTCTTCACTCTCAGCAAGCAAGGTTGTATCATCTGCATATCACAGGTTGTTAATGAGTCTTCCTCCAATCTTGATGCCACAGTTTTCTTCATATAACCCAGCCTCTTGGATTATTTGCCCAGCATAGAGGTTGAATAAGTATGGTGAAAGAATACAACATTGTCTAACACCTTTTTAAATTTTAAACCATTCAGGGTTCGCATGTTCTCTGTTCAAACAACTGCCTCTTGGTCTATGTACAGAATCCTTATAATTAAGTGTTCCAGAATACTCATACTTCACAATGTTGTCCATAGCTTGTCATAATCCACACAATCAAAAGCCATTGCATAGTCAGTAAAGCACAGGTAAACATCTTTCTGATAATTCTCTGCTTTTGGCCAAGATCCATCGGACATCAGCAATGATAATCCCTCATTCCACAGCCTCTTCTGAATCCAGCTTGAACCTCTGGAAGTTCTCTGTCAATGTATGGTTGTAGCTGTTTCTGTGTTACTTTTAGTATAACTTTACTCGCATGGGATATCAAAGATATTGTTCAATGATTTCCGCATTCCATTGGGTCACTTCTCTTTGGAATGGGCACAAATATGGATCTCTTCCAATCACTCGGCCAGATAGTTGCCTTCCAAATTTTTTGGCAGAGATGAGTGAGTTCCTCCTGTGCCGCTTTACTTTCTTGAAAGATTTCAACTTTTATTCCATCAGTTCCTGGTGCCTTGTTCTTTACCAATTCCTTCAATGCACCTTGGACTTCTTCCTTCAGTATCATTGGCTTTTGATTATATGCTACCTCTTGAAATGGTTGAACATCAACCATTTCCTTTGGTACAGTGACTCTGTGCATTCCTTCCATCTTTTGATGCTTTCTGCATCATTTAATAATTTGCTCAGAGGATCCTTCAATAACGAAAGTCGATGTTTAAATTTTTTCTTCAGTTCTCCCAGCTTGAGAAATGCTGAGCATGTTCTTCCTTTTGGTTCTGACTCAGATCTTTGCACATTTTGTTGTAATATTTGGCTTTATCTTCTCAAGCTGATCTTTGAGATTTTCTGTTCGGTTCTTGTACCTCCTCATTTCTTCCATTTGCTTTAGCATCTCTACGCTGGAGAACAAGTGTCAATGTCTCTTCTGACATCCATTTTGACCTTTTCCTTCTTTCTTGTCTTCTTAATGACTTTGCTTTCTACCTGTATGATGTTCTTGATGTCATCCCACAACTCTTCTGGTCTTCGGTCTTTAGTGTTTAATGTATCAAATCTGTTCTTCAGCTGATCTCTAAATTTAGGTGGGATATAGTCACGGTCATATTTTGGCTCTCATAGACTTGTTTTCATTGTCTTCAGCTTCACTTTGAATTTGCATATGAACAATTGATGATTTGTTCCACAATTTGCCCCTGGCCTTGTTTTGACTGATGATATGGGGCTTCTCCATCGCCTCTTTGTGTAAATGTAGTCTGTTTGATTTCTATGTAGTCCATCTCGCGAGGTCATGTATATAGTCGTGTCTTAACCTGTCTAAAGAAGGTATTTGAAATGAATAAATCATTGATTTTGCAGAATTCTATTATGTGATTTCCAGCATCATTTCTATCACCAAGGCCATATTTTCCAATTACTGATCCTTCCACTTTGCTCACAACCTTTGCGTTCCAATCACTGGCAATGATCAATGCATCTTGATTGCATGTTTGATCAATTTCAGATTGAAGACATTGATAGAATTCTTCTATTTCATCCTCACTGGCTTTAGTGGTTGGTGCCTAAATTTAAATAATATTGGTATTAACCAGTAGGCACATGGATATTATCCTGTAGGCACATGGATATTATTGTGTCACAGACAGCGTTGTACTTCATGACTGATCTGGATATGTTCTTTTTGACAATGAATGCAAAACCATTCTTCAATTTATCATTCCTGGCATAGTAAACCATGTGGTCGTCAGATTCAAAATGGCCAATACCAGTCCATTATAGAGCACTAATGCCTGAGATATTGATGTTTATGTGTTCCATTTCATTTTTGACAATTAACAATTTTCTTATATTCATACTTCTTACATTCCATGTTCCGATTATTAATGGATGTTTACAGCTGTTTCTTTTCATTTTGATTTGTGCCCCATCAGCAAATGAAGGTCCCGAGGGCTTTACTCCCACAGGCTTTACTCCATTCACATCATCACGGTCAACTCTACTTTGAGGAGGCAGCTCTTCCCAAGTTGCATTTTGAGTGCCTTCCAACCTGAGGGGCTCATTTTCCGGCACTATATCTGACAGTGTTTCTCTGCTGTTCATAAGGTTTTCAGTGAATAAATATTTGAAAGTAGTTTCACTCCTTCTTCCTAGTCTGTCTTTGTCTGGAAGCTTATCTGAAATCTGTCCACCATCGGTGACCTTGCTGATATTTAAAATACTAGTGGCATAGCTTCCAGAATGACAGCAACTCATAAGCCACCACAGTGTGACAAACTGACAGATGTGTGGTAGCCACAATTTTTTAGGCACCTGTTTTTCCCCCTTGGAGTCCTGGTGTGGCACTGTAGGATATGTACTGGACCATAAGATCAGTTTGAGCAGCACGGTCAGCAGTTCAAACTCACCAGCTGCTCCTTGGGTCAGTATGAGTCAGAATTGACTCAGTGGCAGTAAACAACACATTTTTTCCTCTTAGGTAAGTTGTTTACGCAAAATAATTGTTACCTTTTACTTTTCTACCAGGAATATATGAGTTCCTCAGGTTTAACAGTATAAATTTAGTCACTCTAATAGCTGGGTAGTGTTATCTCATTATGCATTTAATTAGCATTTTCATGATGACTACTGTTAGTAAACATTGTTTCATGCGCTTATTGGCTCAGTGTAAGACCTCTATGGTGAGGCATCTGCACACGCTTTGCCCTTTGTTGTTGTCATTGGCTTGTGTTATAACTAATATGTAGTAAGAGTTATTTATATGTTCTTTGTCATATACTGATATATCGTATATACTGTACTAATTTTGTATACTGCTGTAATAAATTACCACAAATTTAGTGGGTTATTTTGTTTTAAACTTTCTATTGTAAATTGGGTGAAGGTTTACAGAG